CGTGAAGAGGGAAGACTCCTGTAATCTTCACGCCACTGCCAACCTCATTCCAATGACTCAACTTCCTCGGCAGGACATTTGGCTCAGGGATGAACCATCATGTGCCCAAATGATCCCGTAAACCCTACATTCCTGAACCCCAAATACCAAGGCCCCTTATGTAGGGTTACTCCAACACCCTCCAACACCCTAAGCCTCCTCAGGCCAGACCTGGCCAAGGATCTTGCAAGATGAAAGCCAGGCCGGAGTTCATCTTGTCCTTGCCTTCGTGGAGTTTAGACATGAGATGAGGTCGTATACGTACTCTATCAGTATAGCATATTGAAATTGCCATAATGAACCAATACATTCTACTATACTATGACGAAACAGGACAACTACTGATGATCACCCTGGGTCGCAACCCTGGACCCTGCAACTCCCACATGATAAAATCCCGAAAGCATACCTCAACCCTTCCAAACCCTAAGCCCAAGACCCTAAACTTTGCGTCCCGGTCCGGGGTTTAGGGTGACCAATTGGACCCCATCACTACTTCGATGGTTGGATTGAAGTGGAGGCCGTTAGGGTTTAGGGTTCTTCAGTACACGCTAGAAGCTTGGAACCCCAGAGGCACAGATCAGAATTCAAGTGTCCAAGCGGCACTCTGCGACCAGGTGATCACAAGAACTCCAGCGAATTGCCCCAGCCTACCCGGCTGGGTCCGGTTCTTCGGCCCAGCATGCCCCCCTCCCCCCCCCCTCCCGGCCCCAAACAAAATAAAAGCAAAACAAAGACACGAGTTCAGCGTCAAGTCAAGGGTCCAGGGTTTTCGTTTGGGTTTGCTGCTTGTTTCGATGTATGTGTAGAGAGCTGTCGAGCTTGCATTTTGTATATGAGCTCTGCCAACTTGTTTATTGTAGGTGGCTTAAACCAGTTCTAGCTTCTTCGAACCTGCGGACTTGGGTTTGACTCCACTGTGGTCACAAGAAACCTATCAAACGCTATTGACTGCTTGTCATGTCTGTCATGGTTGCTTTGTTGTCGGGAACTATTAACTGTCTCCTGTGTTCATCAGCCGTAGTTGGTTGAAAAGAGCGTGTATGACTCGACTCGCTGATGAGCATGCTCGCGTTGGGTATGGCGGTTGCACATAATTCTAGACGCTACCGCTTTCTGGCACGTCTTACGAGAACAAGTAGCTAGAAGTATATTTACCGGATTCAGGCTACCTTCAAGGAGAGCATCTGCTACTTCATGAGTCTCAGCCCAGCTTAGGTTCTTGCATCTGGCTTGGCAAATCCTAAGCCCTGTCACTGTCCTCTCCTGGCTCGTCATGTGAGTTCCCTGGCCCTCGGCGGAGTAGCCTCAATTTTCTCAAGTTAGTGGAAGCTGACTGTGGGGCCCTCGGGTCTCGGGCTTATTAAGGTTCAGGGCGTGCTTTAGCGCGAATCCTGGCAAGCTAGAATGCCCACGACTTCATCCTTAGCGATCCTGACAGAGAAGATACGACGACTACTGACATCCTTTGAGCAGCCAGCTCCACATGAGCTCATGTGGAATTGTGAGCATTCCGGAGGCGCCAGGTCCCCACAACCTTTCGTGTTGGGAATCCACTGAATAGGCGCCAAAGGTTCGAGAATTCTGAGAAACCCGATTCAACCAAGTATTCTATTTGGGAATATGATGAGAAGCCAATTCCAAGCAGAACCCCTAGCTCACCACGGGGCTCACGAGGCCCTTTTGCGAGCCAAGCAACACGAAGCCGCACGATAACAGCCGCCCAGCAAGAGTTCCTGCAAGGGTTGCGTAGAAGACATATTCGATAATACTATACCTTGAAAATACTATACATTACAAAACTGTACTACACTATGCTATGCTTCACTATACTATACTTTACTATACCAGACTAGACTTTACTATGCTACTCTACTATTTTACACAATCTACAATCGACAATCTTTGCTATACAATATACCATATACTATACACTATATACCATATACATATACTGTATATTGGGTACAATTTTGGTGTAGACTGTATTTCGCCGGATCTTTGCTCGAAGTCTTCTTAGTAGCTTGTCCTCACTCTCCTCTTTCCTCTCTTCACTCCTCTTCCCTGTCTGAGGAGTCAACAGGAACAGAAAAGTTGAAGAAGCAAAAAGAAGAAGCAAAAAGAAGACCTCAACCCTGACATTCTTAGAATATGCAACTCCCGACCTGGAGCTCTGTCGCCTCGCTCTCCAACAACAAGCTCTGAGAGAAGCGTGCCTGGACAGCGGGCGGGGAAAAAAAGGTTCAGGTTTGGAGTTTGATGTTGGTGTATATGGGCCAGCATAGGCCCACCACCCCCCCCCCTCCCCCTGTGGTTCATGGTGGGTTTTGGGTCCCCCGCCCCCCCCCCCCCCCTGTCATTCATGGTCTGTGGTTCATGGTTTTAGGGTTTAGGGGTTTCAGGCTAGGCTGTAGGGTTCAGGATTTTCACCCTGATCCATTGGTTCACTGTGAGTTTAGAGTTTGATTAGGGTTCAAGGTTTGGGGTAATGATACGTTTGCAGTTTCCCCTCGTTTGCGGTTGAGGGTTCAGGGTTAAAGCGGCAAAGGTTTCGAGTTTACCCTTCTCGCTCCCGTCGTTCATTGGTGGGTTTAAGTTTTAGGGCTTAGGGTTCAGGGTTTGGGGTTTAGGCTGAGGCTTCTCCCCCATGGTCCGTGGTGTTTTTAGGGTTAACAGGCAGGGTTTGGGGGGGTTGCCATGGGGAGGGGGAAGGGATACCATTGGGGGGGGGGGGGGTGGGGCGTCGATTACGCGGAACGCGGGCGCTCTAGGGTTTAGGGAATTTGGGGTTTCTACGGTGTCTGGGCTTTCAACGCAAGGAGTCTGCCCTAACTGAGTTGAGACCGCCCCCACCGCGCCAGCAAAGCAAACTCCCATGCACACTATAAAACCTAAATCCATAACTTCGAAACGGTTCAACCAAGGGGGCATCAGGGCTAGCTGGTGCCACACCCGCTGCCATGGCCAGTTTGCTCCTTGGAGACTGAAATGTGAAATGTATTGCTTGTCTTTTGCCGTCTGTCGTGCCGACGGCTTAGGGTGTTAGGGTTGGAACCACAACGCTGGGGTGTGGGGTGGCTTGGGGTTGAGAGTTTAGGGTCCTATGGCTTCGGGGTTTTTGGGAGGGTATGTCGCGGTGTCCCTTCCCCCGTCTGTGTTACATACGTATGTCGCGCCCACTTGTTTCATACGTGTGTCGCGGGGTTTGTCGCGGCTGTTTCGCGTACTGTCGTAGGCGAAGGTTGCAGTTCCAAGAAGGGGCTTGTCGCAAATGCTTCTCGCGGAGGCTTGTCGCGGAGGTTTGTCGCGGACGCTGCTTGTCGCAAGCAGAACGGCTTTGTTAAAAAACCCTATGTCGCAGAAAGACGCCCGGGCGCCAGTTAGATACCTAGACTTTTGAGCCGCGCCCAAAGTGGCTTTGAAGGGATTGCGCTCAGCACGGGCCGCAGTTCGGAGATTAGAATGTCGGGAGAAACCCAAAACCTAGACCCTGAACCCCACACTAGACCTGAGGCTTCAGGAGATGCAGGATCCTTGGTGGTCAGGCCTGTTCTTTTCAAGCGACCGAATCCCAAAGCACAGCTCTGCAAGTCGCGTGGGCCCTGCGCAGGGCGCGATCGGAGTACTGCAGGGCCTCTTAATCACACGTTGCTCTGCTTGGCAGTGCCTGATCTTCGCACCACCGCTTCCCGCCCAACGTGCGTATGGCATCCCTCAAGGCCCAAGGCCCTGCCGAGCCCTGGGAAGAGACGACATGGGATTGGCCCGCGCTGACGTTAACGAGAAGATCAGGTGACTCCTGTTCCGGGTGCGTGCGTCCTGCTGAAGAACGTATTGAAATTTCGGTGGAAGGTTGCAAAAAGGGATTCGCCTCTCAAGAAATTCGGCGCTTTTCGCGTCAAACTTCGCGGCATCCTCCGCAAACCATTTTCAAAATGATCCTCGTGCACGCCCAATTTTGCAGGCACAGCCTCGGGTGCCAAACATTGCGAATCAAGCTTCGCACACCAAACTTCGCATGCACGTATGTCAGCTGCAAACTTCAGCACGGTTCACCCGGGAAACAATACACGTGTGCTGCGGCGCATGGTGGTGGACGCAGGACCACAATGGAAGCAAACATCTGTCGCATCGAATCTCAACACAGCAGTTGACGGACACAAAACGTTGAGCGTTGAAACGTCAGAGCAGGAGGTCGCTGAAACCCTACCCTCAGAGCGGCAAAGCCCTAAACTTCCCTAAGCCCTAAACTAAACTTAAAAATTCAGGGTTCAGGGGGCTTTGTCACGAAGGTTTTTGGAAATTTTGTGAGCCTTCCAATGACTCAACAACCCGACTTGAACCCACTCCCCCGACCAAAGACCAAAATCCCAATAACAAAAACAGATCCAGAGGGGAACAATTGGGGTTTAGGGTTGCGCTGCAAAAATAGCAGTGGCCTAGGGCCTAGCAAAACGCACAACACAGCACGTGGACGGGAAGGTCAACTAGCGCAAACGAGGCCCCTCTCCTGACATATCTCATGATGCTGGGGAATCTCATGACAGTCACAGGGAGCCACAGAACAACGACCATGAAACTGAAAGTGAATGCTTCAAACACCAAATCCCCCTCTCGTAGACCCTTCCGAGCTTCGCAAATCCTTTGACAGCCGCTCGATGATCGCCAACAATGGCTCCAACATCTTTCAGCTGCAACATCTGGTCAAGGCATGTCAGGGCTGATTAGACTTGGATTTCCCTTGGATTTCCGTTCTTCGGGTTTAGGGTTGAGAGTCGAGTCCATAAAGCTGCTAGATGCTTCTCCCAACCTGGCTCTACCCCTTCATCAGACTCTTTAGGGTTTGTAGGTTTAGGGCTCAGGGAGATCCCCAAACCACGAGCCCTCGTCGCCTAACTTATGCTTCAAAGCCGGCTTCGGAGCTCTGATGAGCTTCTGGCACAGAGCTGGAAGATGTGGGCCTCCTTGATGTAATCGAGTGCAAGTGGGCTGGTGTTGAAGGTGTAGTCTGCATCCTCCAGGACTGTATGTGTGTGCATATATATATGTATTGTAACGTATAAGTATTGTCGGGTTTAGGTAGGCGGCACCTAAACCCCAAATCCTGCAACCTTGCGACTGAAACCGTGAGGCCAAGCCATGTTTCATCTCACCGAATGCCGGACTGGGACCGAATTATCGCGGACCTGTGGCGACATGCTGATCAAAGCTGTTTTGGCTTTAGGGTTCGGGCTTAGTGTTCATGTTTTCGAAAGCGCCTGGGACCAACTCAGCAGTTGGTCGAGGATGTTGGATGCGAGGCTGGCCACTTGCCCAAGGAAGGGGCTCGCGCTGCTGCCTGGCATGCCTGTTCGGGATTGAGAGCTTTTGCGGGTGCTCTAAGGTGCTATTGTTTCTCGGGCGGCTCTTTGGGTTTGGCTTCTTGGGGCAGAAGCGTTTACCATGAGATCCTGAGCCCACAAGAAAATAACGAACTTAAAGAGTCTCCGTATGTCTAAGTTGACATGATTCTTGGATGATATTTCTATGCACGATATGCATGTGTGCATACTTACTGTCTGAAGAGAATAGGGCATAAGGCGTCGGGCTGTAAGGCTGAACCTTTCCCGTAATTTAAAGGTTTTGCAGGGCAACAAAACGTCGAAATGCAAGCCCAGTCCTGAATCCAGGGTGTTAGCATGGCTCCCCTTCCCCAAAAAACTTCCTAAACCACTTCCAAAACCCTTCAAACTCGAGCCGCCTCCGAAATAGTTGGCAGCAGTGAGTCCTCACCAAACATCGGAGATGTAAAGGCTTGATGCTTTACAGCTCTACGGCTTTTCCCTAGCAACAGAATCAGGTTCTAGGGAAGGTGATGATTGTGACTGTTGCGACAACAATCGTGCTGGAGGAGCCGGTGGGCCATGCAGGAGGGGGGCGAATGCGCGGTTACCTTGGTGCGCCTTGATTTCAGCCAGATCAAGGCGCACTGGGATATCTCAAGCTATTCCCAGCAGAGTTCAGGGCTGCTAAGCCATAGAGTTAAGGGTTGGAGATTTGCATGGGTTTTCGGCGGGCGGGTTGTAGACTTGTAGGGTCATAGGGAACAAAGATAGTTTGAGGGCTGTCGAGTCTCAGGACAGGTCGGGCCAGGACTGCAGGGATTTAGGGGCTTTGGTTTTGGCAAGCGGGGAGTGTCATCGTATTTAACTTTTAATCTAGCGAAACACAAGAATATCTTTGGAAAATAACATGTAAAAGACATGAAGTAGGAAAGTCTTTTTGTAAGAACCACAATTTCAAACCTTGGTGTAGGAAGATCTGCCGTGAATTCTTCCGTGATTTCGGAGTCAAAGCTAGTGAAACACAAGAATATCATTGCGGCTAGCGGTTTGCTACAGTATGTAGAGGGCTTCGGCAAGACAATGCCATCGACGAATACATGCATTGTTGCACTGTGACGGGAAACAGCGACTGCGAAAAATCACGGGACGGTATGACTGAGTATGACCGAGTAGTCCGTGCTTCTGATAAATTGGCCCCCCCCTCTGCCCCGAGAACAATGGAAGGGGGTCGACTCGATTCTTTCCTGGGCTGGGAGGGGGCGGGGGGGTGGGGGAGGTGCGCGGAAAGGGGCTGTCCTCTTGTGTCCTTTTCCGCTCTTCTTCTGCCAATTTTTTTTCTCCAATTCTCGGGGGTTTATTATTCCGTTCTTGGAAGCTTATCTTTTTAGCTGTGCTTGCTTAAGCAATTCAAAATCTCTGTGCTTATCGTCATCGAAGGCCGGCCGGGCTTTCCATTATTTTAGGGGGTTTGATTAGTCCCAAACTCTGGCCTGAGTTCCGGCCCCGCAAGGGGTAGGTAATCGCAGTTTTCTGCTGCAGCCTCCAACTCCAAAATCCGGAGAGCACGTGGGCAATTGCTGTGCTTATCGTCCCTGCCGGGCTTTCCATATTTTTTTGGGGAGTTTTATTAATCCCAAACTCTGGCCTGAATTCCGGCCCCGTAAGGGGTAGGTCAGACGCGAATGATTTGGGCAATGATCCTAGATGAGAAGTAGTACGGAATCGCAGTTTTCTGCTGCAGCCTCCAGTTCCAAAAAAATCCGAGAGCACGTCGTATAAATACTCAAGCAACTCAAAATCTCTGTGCTTCTCGTCCTCGCTGGCCGGTGATCTTTCCATTGTTCCTGTAGCCTTCCAGCAACTCCAATTTTTTTGGCCTCCCATTTTTTCTTTAAATTGGAGGGGGGGTTGTTGGTGCATTTTTGGGGGTTTGGCTCCCGGAATGGAAAGTAGTCTTCCCGGAGGGTTTGGGCCAACAAATAATTTCTTTAAATTCTGGGGGTTTAAATCATCAGATCCTCGGATTATGACCGGGTATGCCCGGGCTCGGGCGCACTCGGGCGAATCAGGCTACAATCGCGGAACGCGTCCGCACCCTGTCAGTACCTGAATCAAGCACCAACCCAAGCCTGGAAACAAGCAAAACAACCCACTTTCACGCTCATGGTTCCTGTCTGGTCCCATTCCACCGTTCCGCCCGATGCCAGCGTGCTGATCTTGCACCCAAGCATGCCATTGACACCCTCGACAAGCTTTGAGAGACCCACCTTCAAAGGCTTGACTGAGGGGCTGAAGCCTGAACTACAGCCTTAAAGAGCCCCAAACAGCTAAAACCTAAACCTTGAACGTTTGGGCTGTGAGGCTTCGGGGGAGCCTGAGGGCTCTGCAGCTGCTCACTGCGCTGAAATCGCTATAGAAACCATCAATATCAACCTTCAGGTACCAGGTAAAGTCGGCAACAGCTGCTTCAGCATGAAGCTGAGCTTCAACTCCCGATGGACTCTTGGCACCGACGATGTGGTGTTCAGGGTCTTTAGTTTTTCAGTGTAGGGTCCTAGCAGCTCTATCAGCTGCATCGCCTACGCAGGCTTGTTTCTAGGTTTGGGTATGAGGCTTCAAGCTGTGGCCGTGCCTTCTCACTCGGCAGAGGCAGCGTCTTGAACTTGTCGTAAAAATCTTTGGTGATGGCATCTTTCAGCGGTGCAGTGCTTTGACTTAAGGCGTTCATCCGTGCTTGGGACCCTTTCACCTAGCACATGGTTCGTTCAATCAAGGTTTGTGAGGGCAGGGATCACCCATGAAGGGCAAACTCCACCTGCCTTTGTTGCTTCCATAGTACTTGAGTTCGTTGAACTTGGCATCGTACAAGCCTGCGGCCTTCTGCCCCCCATCCTCGGATTTGCAAGACGGTGAAGCATTCCTACTGGGAGAAGGCAATTCGCCCATAGCCCCAACAAATGCCGAAACCTTAGAGCCTTAGGGCGGCAGAAATTGAACAGAGAAAGGGATCGAGCTCGTTGAAGCGCGCGTTTGCCGAGCCAAGATCGAGGAAGAATTGATAATTCACAACTCCATGGTTCACGTGCTCGAAGACCAGGTATCCATCGATCTGGAAGCAGATCAGACAGATCCTACGGAACCCTAAAACTTGCCTACGGAAATGCTCTCAATCTCCCCAAACTGCCTTTACTTTGAAAAAGTACTTACATGCCCTGATGTTTCAACCCCTTTGATAAACAGCTGAGACAACATTTCACACCAAGCCAGGGCCTTGGGCGGGATGCTGGACTCGCCTCGAACTCGCCGGTGAGCCACGTAGCAGATGTCCCCGTGATTGAAAGTGGTGGCCTTCTTTCTTTTTTCTCTTCTTTTTGTAAAACCGAATCATTGACCTGCTTCTCGAAAGCCCGTCAGGGCCTGCAAGACTTGGGAGCTCTGTCTAACGTTGACAGTATGTTGACAGTAGCCTAGGTTGACATCGAAGCATCGAACTGCCCAAAGCTCACACTCTGCACGCAGCAAATTTCGGACTATCTTTGGATCACGGCCTTCCGCAATCCCCACTATTCCCTACTCTAGAGTCGCGGCTCAGAGTAAGCAGCTTGTAGCCTGGATTGAAGTCGAAACTTTCTTCCCGAAACCTTGAACCACCCTGGAACTCGAGCAGTGGAGGTGGAGCTCGGGGCCCAGGTCCGAAACCACTTCGCTTCCGAACTTCAATCAAGATCTGTAGGCTACTTCGATGATGCTGTCTTGGAGACCTGAAACCGAGAGGCTCTGTCAAAAGCGGACCCGAAATTCCCGAAACGATTCGAGCAAAAAGAAGGGAAGCATAGGGGTCCTCGATCGGGACTCGCCAATTGCCGCAAGTGGTGGCTTGTGGCTGTCCGATGCCCGTGCAGGTAACATCTTTATAGCAGGTGTCCCTGCAAGCGTTGACATCTTTCCTCAGGATTCCCGTGTGGGCTTAGCTTAGCTGCAGCTCGGACGGCGCTAAACTCCCTAGATTTCATTCATTCTTGAATCTTGACCCCTTTCTTCGCTCACTGCCAAGGGTCCCAGTAAAAATTTGGTAGTAGGTGGACTGGATGTCCGACGGAGAGCTTCCACGGCAACCCGTGCTGCCACCCATGAGCATTTCGAACCCAAGTGGCCCTCTGGACCCCTCGAAGCCAACGATGGACTCCTCACATATTACTTCACTCTCCCGCGTGGGACAATGCCATGGTCCTGTTCCAAGAACCCGAAACTTCAGTAAGAATTCTCGAACACATACGCAATTCAGAACAAGGCAACAAATTGGAGACTGCTTTCTTGCTGTCAACATTACTTCTCGGTTGTGAGCAACAGACCGTTATACCATGTTGCGTGATTGGTACACAACTGCCATGCTGGACACACGGTACATGGAATTCCACAATCTTCCAAGGCATAGATTCTCTTGTTCTTCCAAGGCTGCATGGTACGTGTCTCATAGTTCGAAACGACTGTCAAGTAATTGTTTGACAACTGTTGAGTATTTCAAGCTGTTTGACAACTGCTGGTTAGTCCAAACTATTGAACAGCAAGTGCGCAGCCACTTGTCTCGGTTTCTCTGTAATTCTTGGAATCTGGAACGATGAGGCCTTGAGGTAATGAAGGGCAGCTAGTGGGACACTCGCGTGCAGTATTCCTTACAGCTGCTGCCATTTGCTATTTGTCTGATTTCCAGATTTGGTCGGCCACTTAGGAAGGAAAAGACACAAGAGTCCATGGGGCGTTGGCTGAATGGCGCGGTATGACTAGTGTTTTCAACAGCGAAAGCACGACGACAAGCTCCATCTTTCAAGGGGGATTCGGGTGAGATGGATTGGGGCTCCAGGTCCTTGATTTGGCTGTTGGAGCGCAGGGGCAACTGTGATGAACCGAATTTGTCAAACAACCCATCAGAAATCAGAAAGTGATGGCCCATAGAGGAATGCCTCTGTGTGCCCAGTCCTTGTTCTCTGTCTTCGCCAGGTTCACCGAGACATTCTGAAGACCGGTGTGGTTACTAGCTGCCATCTTCACCATGTCATCAGTCTCAGGCTCGATTTTGGAGTCCTGGGAAGCTGATCCCCTATGATTCCAGAGCTTGGCACCTCAAGCTGTCATCCCCAGAACTAGCTTGATGAGCTCACCAACCATGCCACCTTGTGCGACTAGCTGGTACGCAATGCTGAACGTGACACACACACACAGAGAGTTTTACTTACTTCCATCCAATATGGGCCTAGGGTTCATAGCCTTTCAGGCACGGTTGAGGCACTGTTTAGGGTTCAATCAGCCTTTTTCCTCCGAGACCCCTTCCTAACCCACGCGCCAAGCGTCCACTCGAACAGGAAGGTGGTGTGGGGGACCGGCCTGCCGCAGGCTGCTTTTGGCGCTTGAGGTTTTTCGCGTAGGGTGCAGGGTTCTTAGGGCTTGGGGTCCCCACCCCCTGCGTTGTGTGTTCATGTGCGGCCATGCTCCTGATTGCTGAACAAACACGTGTTCCTCAACAACTCCAAAAAGATCGTTTATTAACACAGCACGGTTGACGAGGAGCAGTTTGCAACACAACTACAGCTTCATCAACAGTTTGCATATGAACCGAACAGATACACACAGTGAACGTCTGCCATCCAATACATCCAATACCGGTTGCCACGCCCATGGTGCGCAACTTTTGCCTCATTTACTCACCAACAGGCAGAGACAAAATCTCTTTGCGTTCTCGAGATGTGCAAATGCGAGGCCCTTCGATTCCTCGTTTTCATCCGCGTAGCACGATTCGACCCCTTCGTACCGTTGCCACTTGGAAAACTCACGCCAGCGGAGCCTCACAGCTGCTTTCGCTAATGTAGTTCCCAAACGGGTTGCCAAGGATTCTTCAGCGCAGTGCGTTGCGAAATAACCCTCCCCACAGCCACCCAGCGTCCCCACACAGAATCTCAGAACCAGCAACTCAGCCCGACTCTTCGGTTGACATTTCAGGCCATGTCAGGCCATTTCAGGATGCGTCGGCACTGTACAGACATGCAGGCATGGGCTGGCATCGAGTCATCGAGTGCTCTTCAGCGCACTTTGACACACGCGATTTTTTGCTTTGTCTGACTCGGGCTTTCTCCACTGTGCAATTGAGTGAGCCGGAGTCGTTTGGTGTCGTACTGTTGACCTGCAACGCAGCCAAGGTCCCCCATAAGATGCTTCAGTGTGTGCAAGAATGCCTGCTCCAGTTCCTGACTGAGGAGGTCTTTGTTTCGGATTCGCTTTGATAGAAGTTGCCACATCTGCGTGTCATAAAGAGCCTGATTCATGAGTCTCTGCCACACATGTGTGGACGCTATGGAGAGGGCACGCCCCAATCCATCCATGCCTGACTAGATGTGGTGCAGCATAGACAACCCTAAGCCTTTTGGAGTTCCTAAGGAGCGTTCCCATAGGAGGATTGCTCTAAGCCAGCGTCCTCCTTGTACCTCTTTGCACGGGAATCAGCCTCAAAAGCGACCTTAAACCCTAAACCCTAAACTGGACCTAGACCCGAAATGGCAACAATCCCCATAGCAAGCCCGATCTGGCCGTCTTCATGCCCGCCGCGAGAAAGGAGCAGAGCCTCGGTAATCTAGTTGGAGGTCTCATGGGGTCTATGGGGGTTTAGTGTTTGCAAGGGTTTGGGGTTTAAGGGTTTACATAAGGCTCAGGCTTTCAGGTTCCGTTGGGTGTGCCCAGTGCAGGCTCCGAAGCCGCTCCGAACTTCGAATGTCGAAACGTTCGCGCCTGTAGAATGGAAACGCGCAAGGACCTATATGAGCAAATACCCTTCAAAATGAAGGTCGAGGAAACATTTATTATTTTTTTCTTGGGTTCCCTTTTCTAAGAGGAAATAGAAGTTTTCCGATTAAGATCTGAAGAAAATAGAGGTTTCCCGATTAAAATACAAAGGAAATACAGGTTTTACTATTGAAATACAAGGGAAATACTGGGTTTTGCAATTAAAATACAAAGGAAACAAGTTTTTCCGTTCAAAGGCAGGGGTCTGCCATCAAAAGTGAAAGGATATAGAGGTTTACCATACAAGGCAGAGGAAAAAGAGGGTCTGCCCATTGAATAAACAGAGAAACTAGAAGTTAGACCATTAACATATCGAGGACATAGAGGTCGGCCTTTAAGGAAATGGAGGTTTTAGAATTAAAGGACACATAGGTTTTTTTTATAAGGACTCTATCATAGAGTTTTTCTTTAGAGGATTTCTGAACAAACTTTCGGGTTTACTGATTCCTGTGTTGAACTTCCACGCTCGGAAGCAAGCGTGCGCGGCTTAAAAACAAAGGGGGGGCAGCCCCCCTCGCATTTGCAAACACCATGGTGGGTTTCAAAAAGATTCCTATGCTGCAAAGCAGGCTTGCACGGCTGAAAAACAGCAGGGGGTTTGGGGGGGGCGCAGCCCCCCCCATTTGCAAACACCATGCTCGCATGATCGGATTCAAAGAGATTCCTATGCTTGAAAGCAGGCTTGCACGTCTTTGGGGGCCGCAGCTGAAACAGCGGCGGGGTTGGAGGGGGGGGGGGGGGCCCCCCTATTTGCAAACACCATGCTGGCGGATGGGAAAAAAAAAGATTCCTATGCTTCAAAGCAGGCTTGCAAGCTTCAAAAAACGGGGGGTTTGGGGGGGGGGGGAAGCCCCCCCCCCCGTTTGCAACTTGCACGGCTTAGAAACAGCGGGGGGCTTGGGGGGTGGGCCGCAGCCGCCCCCCCATTTCACAAGGCTCCCCTGGTGGTTCAGAAGATTCCATGCTTCAAAGCAGGCTTGCATGGCTTTAAAGGAGCGAGGGGGCTGGGGGGGGGGGCGCACGGCTTTGAAATAGCGGGGGGGTTTGGGGGGTGGGGGGGGGGGGCGCAGACCCCCCCCCCCATGTGCCAACACCAGGCTCGCATCATAGGTTTCAATAGGTTTCAAAAAGATTCCTATGCTTCAAATCAGGCTTGCGCGGCTTTAAACAAGCAGGGGGGCTGGGAGGGGGGGGCGCAGCCCCCCCCCCCCCCCGCATTTGCAAACACGATTCTCGCATGATGGGTTTCCAAAAATGTATGCACCTGCTTTCAAGCATAAGGTCGAGGGTTTCGGCATTCGGGTTAAGGGAGTCAGTCTGTATTTCTTTCTGTCATTCTTTCTTTCTGTTCTTTCTTTCTTTGTTTCTTTCTTTCTCTCTTTCTCTCTTTCTTTCTTTTGTCTTCTTTCTTTCTTTCCGTTGGCTGCCTTTAATGCCCTCCCTCCTCCTAGAGCTTGCTAGGGGATAAAAACTCTCTATGTAAGCCTCTATTTCCTTTGAACAGGAAACCCTCTATTTCCTTTACATTTTACTAGGAGACCCTCATACAATTACAAGAAAAAAGGTGTTAAAACGCAAAAAAAAAGGGTCAAAATAATTAGGGGGGCAAAATAAAATCCATGTACAGGTGGATTTAATACGACGGGGAGGTGGTTATCATCCTCTGTGTGGCAAACCCCCAAAATCCCCAAATTAACAGGTTGACCTCAGGCCCTAGGGTCGAGCATCTGGTTCTGCTCAGAGCTAGTGTTATTGGGCTTGCTGGAAAGGACTGCTAGTCCTTGACTTGATTCCGAAACCCTGAGGCCGAAAAAATGCACCAACCTGACAAAAACCTGATGGGAGCCACGAACACGAATGAAGATACGTATGACGCATGCGGCAACCAAAAGAGACGCGGTGCACAACACGAGATCCGAACTGAAGTGTGCTATCCGTCTCTCTGTTCTTTTGTTCTCTCTCTCTCTCTCTTTTCTATTTGTGTTTATCTCTTCTTCTTCTTCTTCTTCTTCTTCTTCTTCTTCTTCTTCTTCTTCTTCTTCTTCTACCGGGCATGGAGGACAGGGCAGAAGTCCCTGAACCTCCGCTTGTGTTTATCTCTCTCTCTCTCGCTCTATTGTCTGTCTCTCCCGATCTCTTCTCTCTGTCTCTCATCTCTCCTCTCCCTCTCTCATTCATGAAGAGGGTGGCCGTTCTCAATTCTCTCGCTCTCACTCTTCTCTCTCTCTCTCTCGCTCTCTCTTGTTTCTCTCTCTCTTGTTTCTCTCTCTCTTGTTTCTCTCTCTCTCTCTCTTGTTTCTCTCTCTCTTGTTTCTCTCTCTCTCTTGTTTCTCTCTTTCTCTGTCTCTCTCGCTCTCTATCTCTCTCTCTCTCTCTCTCGCACATAGTAAGCGAAGACGCGCCAATGATTATGCAAAACCAACTGCATATAGATCACAGAGTAAGCGATTATGCACCCATAAGCAAAACAACCGCACAGTAAGCGAAGACGCACCAATAAGCAGAACAAGCGCATCTAGAGCACCACACATAGAAAGCGAAGACGTGCCAGCAAGCAAAACAACAGCACATAGCAGGCAAGAATCGAAGAACGGACCAACAAGCAAAACAACCGCCCATAGTAAGCAAAGAAGCACCAATAACAAGCAAAAACAAGCACATATAATTGGAGCGAAGACACGCCAACAAGCAAAACAAACGCTCATTAAGTGAAGACACACCAGTAAGCAAAGCGAAGACACACGAATAAACAGAACAACCGCACGTAATAAGCGACATTACACCGATAAGCAAAACAACACTAATAAGCAAAACAACCGCACATAGTAAGCGAAGACGCACCGATAAGCAAATCAACTGCATGTAGATCATATGGTATGCGAAGACGCACTAGTAAGCAAAACAACCACGCGTAGCAAGCGAAGATGCACCAATAAGCGCATGTAGAGCGAAGAGGCAACACTAAGCAAAACAATTGCATATCGTGAGCGAAGACGCGCCAACTGGCCAAACAAGCGCACAGTAAGTCAAGACACACCAGCAAGCAAATCGAAGACGCACCCATAAGATGTACCTCATCCTCGTGAGTGTCTGCACTTTGAGCAACCATACTCTAAAAGTTACCACGAGGATGACGCACCTCCAAAGATGTGCAAAAGCCCCATCCTTGTAACTGTTTGCCATGTTTTCTGGCATGCCAGGACAGAAACTATGACTGAACATGTGCCAAAATGCTGGACTCTCTCAAGTACAGCTCGATCGGTGCTGCCATTCCGTGAACGCTTGTGAACGCTTTCGACCGCTTTGCAAACACAAAACGGGCAGTTTCCGGAACCTCCCCAACCCCTGGAACCCCACCTCTTGAAACGGGAACCCTTCTGCTTCGCACTCGAGAAAGAACACCCCAAGCGAACCCCCACAGGCGGACTTGTGGCCCGCACCATAGGTTCCATAGGTTCCATTGGATAGATTGCTTCATTGAATGAGAAAAGAAGGGGGGGACGAAAAGGGATGGCTGCAGTACTCCTCTGAGCCTGCGAGCATGCATCTTGTTGCAGAAATGAATTCTGTGTTGCGAGTGGCAGCCCATGAACTCCATGCCGCGTGTGGCACTCTCTCAAAACCCTATAAACACATTTTGAATCGGTACATGCGGGCGACATCCTGGTCTAGTCACAGTCTAGTCTCTAAAGCATTCTAAACATGCTATGTATACAATAAAATTCACAAACAATCACATTCGATTGCATATACATATATGTATATATGTTCACTACTTGGCGGCCACCGCGCAGGCTTCTCAGGCTTTTTGTATAAGTATTATACTTTCTTTGTGTAAAGAGAGAGAGAGAGAGAGAGAGAGAGAGAGAGAGAGACAGAGAGAGAGAGAGAGAGAGACAGAGAGGCAGAGGGACAGAGAGACAGTTAGACAGAGAGACAGAGATTGAGAGAGAAACAGATGCGTATATATATATATATATGTACATATACATACATACATATATGTAGCTAGGCTGACTCTGAATATCTAGCCTCTGAAACAAAGAGCAGGCTGGCGCTTTTCCGAATTTTCTGCCAGCATTGATCCTTGACCATCGATTCGTGTCCAACGAGCATACGACGCGACGGTAGGATTCTGCAGAAGTGGCCGGGGGGGGGGGGGGAGTTGAGCATACACGCTTTTGGACCCTGAACAACCAAGGCCACGTTCACATCTGCGCCCGCCATGTAGACCTTGGGTGCTTGCAGATTGAGGGCTGACTCTTCCAGGTGTCTTAAAAGAGCAGCCTCAGGTCGTATAAGGTAGAAGTAATACAGTTTCAGTTTATACGGTGTCGGCGTTTGGGTTTAAGGGACATTGCTAAGTTCTCCTTATATCAAATATCCTTGGAAAAGCCCTCTATATTGTCCGCTATATAACCCCTTGAAGGAATTTAGACTAATTTAGAAAAGAGTAAGAGGCACATATAGAGCTTAGATCGAGGTCGCAAACTGTGTGAGTCGGCACATTCTGCTGCAAACGATTCGTACGAACCCTAAACATGCTCGGGGATGGAGGCTAAGATCGTTTTGGGGTGAAGATTCAGTTTTTTGTCTTGGGTTTTAGGGTTGAAGTTTAAGGCTTGGTCGTGGAGAGAGGCTCTTAGTGTGGTCCTACAGCAGTTGAGGCTTTTGGTGCTGGGGTTTAGAGTCTAGATTTTCGGGCATGCCCAGATGCAAAGTGCTGTGACCTGCTGGCGAAATCCTATTCGCAAGATGGATTTCGGCACTCGTTGGTGTCACTGATGGGAATTCCCCAAACAATAAACCTTCTAAGCCCCATGTTGCAGTTCACCAACCTTCTCCCCTACGTTCCCGCAAGGACCCTTCATAATGGACTCCCCTGACCTTGGGCTGTAGGATCCCAGGGGCCTCACGGGCAAAGGACGCCAGTCGTCAAGACGTCATCCTTCTGGAAGTCGTTGTTGGCATGGACAGTCCTGTGGCCATAGATGGCGGTGCCCTTGAGCTCTTCAAAACGGGGTGCCGCCTGCATCCACAGCGACATGGAACCTCTCCAGATCGCCTGGCCTTTGCGGCACTGGGTCATGAAGTCCCTCCGAGCTCCACCACTACTCAAGGAGCGAAGACCGCTCACAGGGTAGTTGGCTGTTGCCAGCTCGGTTCCGAAGGAGCGACCATCAGAAGTTATCGCATCGGCCTTGAGGGTGAAGATGTCCTGCGTAATGGATAGGTCAGAGACATCCACCTCGTTCTTGCCAGCGCGGATGACGAAGGTATGCACATATGGCAGTGTCACACTATATGACGAAATGACCTCGCCATCCATCAGCACAATGAACAAGCCATCTTGAAATGCGATCTCCCAGCGGTGCCATTGTCCCCTGGTCCACGGAGTCTTGGCGATACTGATCTCGGGCTTGCCATGGCCATGGGCCTCCTTCGTGAAAAGGGGACCAGCAGCCACAATGTTTCCGTGCACGCCAATATCAAAATAATTGTGGGTGCCGACAGAGTTGAAAATGTCAAAAGAAGGCCCATAAAAGTGACCATCTGCCATCATCTTTTTCTCCTTGTTCATCCGCATGTAGAACTTGAGGACCCAATCTTGCGTGTTGGGGTAGACTGAAATCTTGCCGGCATCTCCCGCGCATCTCATGTACGAGAGTCTCCGGTAGCAATTGGAAGTGAATAGATCGCGAGCGTTGTCCGGCCTCAGGATTGCCTTGATAAGGAATAATAAAAGGGGGAAGGCTGGGAAACCATTGCCTCCCTTAGTCTAAACTCGATGCCTCGGCAGCGTCACAGCTTGCTCGCCAGAGTCAGCCTTGGTGACCTCGAAGTAGAATGATCGCAGAATGGGCTGGTCGACGGTCAGGACCTGCGAAGAAGTCTCGGACGCAGTCTTGGAGAGAATACTCGCAAATCTCTACAGAAGAGTCCTAACACGGACGCATCCACAGCACGGCATTCGAACAGAGACTCTTTGAGCGCATTCCTGCGGGTCATATATAGTCCCGAACATGGAGCTAGAGCTATCAGAAGGCTGAGCAACGAAAGCTGCTTAGAAAATGGACCCCAACACGAGCCTGGTTGCCCTCTTGCACGTCGAAATCCAAGGTTACGGGAAACTCGTCAGATGTCGTGTCGCCGGGGGATGCCTGGACAATAGTGGCATGGTAAAAAAACGACACTGTCATGTACAACATCTTTGAGACTATGAGGAACAATGGGTCGAAGATGGGGGTCGAAGCACAACAAGCTCCACTTGCTCACAGCTTTCTCCTCATGCTCACGGTTTTGGGTCTTCTCCTTCAGTAGCTGTTGAAGGTCTTATGTTCCAAGAGTGTTCCAAGGAAGGGCGCAGCCGCCGCGGCATTCACTGACATATTGGAGGCATGCTCTGATGGCTAGCGCTTGTGGGGAGGTGTAGACATAGCAAGTAGGAGGAGGGTGCAGTATAGCGAAGTGGTGAGCCAACTTCAACTAGTCCAACATGCGCATCGAAGATTCAGTTGTCGCTGGTGCCCCTGTAAGTTCTTAATTGCTATGGCTTGCGACTGGATCTTGTGCGGGGCTCCTGGTTGAACTCTTGCCACCCCATACCCGGCCTGACTCTTGCGGATGAAGACGTTGAGTCCCTCGTGAAGGTCGCCAAGGTCTCCCGACGTACACCATGGATCCACGCTGCCCCTGGGATTTCGGGAGTCGGCTTGGGCTTTTCGGGTTCTGGTCTCAGGGTTTGACGTGCCAGATGCATTTTGCCAAACCTCCACGGAAACCCAGCCCAACGCAACACACACAGTAAAGCACCCTGCCATGCAGCGCCACACACACAGAGGATAAGAACAAAAAGCTGCTCACTTGAGATTGGCCGCCCTATGTAGAGCACGTCGCAGTGACGATCGTTTGTGTGGCCCTTGGCCTCGTCGTGATGATAGTGACCTCTAAACGAGATCCATGGGTCTTCCGGAGAACCGCTCCGTCGGACCATCACCGCATCGTAAGGCACATCGGAGATGTGAGACTTGAGGATCTGGCGGGGCTCGTGGTGATGATACCAGTTGTCCGCTCCAATCACCTGAGTCTTCTTCATGACCATCCACTTTTGACAGTCGCCCGTAGCAAAGAGGAACTCGTCGAAGTCCTCGTTGCCGCTGTTCGCATTCCACTGCTTGGTGAAGGCGCCTCCCTTGGGATCCCTGTGAGGCGTACCCGCTGCGGGCGCCGACCCTTCCAAGAAGTCTCGTTCAGGGAAAGACTTGCCGGTCGAGCGGCGCACGAGCTGCCAGTCGGCACCAACCTTATCGCTGCAGGTGGTGGCGTCCCCGGTCGGCACGGCCTAGCAAGAGCAACAGTGGCAGGACAGAGTGGAGGCGGCTTTTCCGTGGCTGGAAAGTCGACTGTCCTCGACCTCTTCGTGTTCTGAGAGAGGGTGTTTCACCGTCTTCGCTTTCTCTTGGGTGTGGTGTGTTGTTCTTTGCTGTGTTGCTCCTCCGGTAGTTAGACCGTCTCACCTCGTCGCAATAGACCGCCCACTGTGCTGCTGATGTGGTAAAGGGGCGTCCGCTTTCAAAAAAACAGCTGGAAAGTCGACTGTTGTGGTGCAGACGTAGTACGCCGCGGTATTTGCGATGGTTTTGAACCATACAAATTCGGGGACGGTTTTGGAACCATTCGGGACCATGGTGTTTGAGATGCTTTTCCAGCCACGGAAGCTCGGGTGTCCGCGGTGAAGTACATTTGTACTACAAAAGTTGATTTTCCAGCCACGGAAGCTCCGGGTGTCCATGGTCCCCCAATTCCTGGGAAATATCGTGGGACTGGAATGTGAATCCATGAGAGGAGCGGCGGCGCTGTTTGTTCCTGAATCGGGCCTGAGGGGGGCTTTCTGGTGCCAGCTACGTTTGAGGCGGGGCGTGCAGCGTGTGTTGTGTGCTTCCGACCTTGCACATCTCACGAGCGCTGCTCGCCCCATCATCCGCTTTAGGGTTTGGGGATGTTTGGGGTGTCGGGTGGGAGCAGGGATGAGAGCCTCAGCGAACCCCGCCTGACTTTTGCGAGTGAAGACGTTGAGTCCCTCGTGAAGGTCACCAAGGTCTCCCGTCGTACACCACGGATCGGCGTTGTTTCTTGGATCCGGAGATTGGACTTGTGAATAACACGTTAGGGATGCCAGTTTTGTAGGGTGCTCAGGGTGCACACCCTATACACCCTACTCTTCTTGCAGCACATGCGGACAGCTGCTTACCCGAAATGCTGACTACGAGACTGGACAGGAAGAATGGTGACCCATCCATTTCAGCCTGGCCGCCCTACGTAGAGCACGTCGCAGTGACGATCGTTTGTGTGGCCCTTGGCCTCGTCGTGATGATAGTGACCTCTAAACGAGACCCAGGGGTCTTCCCCATGACCCCCTCGTCGGACCATCACCGCTTCGTACGGCACATCGGAGGTGTGGGACTTCAGGATCTGGCGGGGCTCGTTGTGATGATACCAGTTGTTCGCTCCAATCACCTGAGGCTTCTTCATGACCATCCACTTTTGACAGTCGCCCGTGGCAAAGAGGAACTCGTCGAAGTCCTCGTTGCCGCTGTTCGCGTTCCACCGCTTGGTGAAGGCGGCTCCCAGCGGATCCCTGTGAGGCGTACCCGACGCGGGCGCAGACCCTTCCAACTGGTCCGTATAGGGGAAAGACTTGCCGGTCGAGCGGCGCACGAGCTGCCAGCCGGCACCAACCCTATCGCTGCAGGTGGTGGCGTCCCCGGTCTGTTGGGCCTGCAGCAGGTTAGGAGGTATAGGGACTATGGCTCACGCAGCACTTTCTCGCGACGCTGGCGCTGGCACAAGATTCAGCCGCAGCATAAGACTACAAAGACATTTGGAGAATAGCAGGGCTGGTGCTGGTCTGCCCTCCGCCTTGAGAACTGCCTTGATCTCGTTTCCGTTGACTGTCACCGATGTGGTGCCGCTGCGCTCGGGCGTGTTCCGCGTGATGAAAGAGATCCGACCTCTCCCGCTGATGGGGCCTTCGTGAAGCATGCCAAAGGCTAGGATATGCTCGGATGACCCTCTGCGACTCCGTGAAGCATGATCCTCTAATACCCTCAACGACTCCACGATTGGACGTGATGCTCGTGATGCCCCGACGGCTGTCACAGGCTTGTCACTGGAGGGTGCACGGCGCTAGGTTACTAAAATCACAGGGATTTGCTCCTAGGGTCCTATGGCCAGTCAAATTTCCCAAGCGACTCCCCCTACCCGCGTCCCCCGACCCCTACGGTTGCATGGGTCCGTCGTCCAAGAGGCTGAAGAATGTCCGGGTGAGGCTCATCGGTTCCTGGAGGACACGCTCAGCCAAAAATGCGGAAAACCCATTCCTGGTAGGTGTGAGATTGCACATTCGGTGGCGTTAGACAGCTGGTGGAGCCTCAGCAGCACTTGCCGCAGGATCTGGGAATCACAGCCTGTGGGTTTAGAGCCTATAGGATGCAAGCCCCGATGTCCTCATCTGGCAAGTAGATCCTGTCACCGAGCCTGGGCATTTTTAGGGCATGGCCTTGAGGTGAAACCTCCTGATACCTCCTGACCGGCGCAACAGAGACCTGTATCTGAATAGACCCACACACACGCCGCCCATGCTCCCCACTCCCTGCTCACAACCTCAAGCATGTTGGCAGATTGAAAGCGCAGGACAAACAGCCACCCTTAAACCCTCGACCGTAAACATCCCTAAATCCTGTTGAGTTTGAGGCACGCGAGAGATCGCGAGAGAATCCCGGGCTCAAGGTGAGGGATCGTTCCATACACGGATCAGATTCAGATAGATACGAGTGGAGCCTCTTGAAAGCCCCGACTAGGTTACCTTGTGGAGCCACGTGGTAAACTCCATTAAGAGCATGAGCCCACATGCACCCTAAAACCTGCACCCACTTCGGACACCCAAGCTTCATTTCCCTGGCCTTACACTTTAAACCGCAACCTTACCTCACTCTCCACCTTTCAAGCCTTGCACGGTAACCCGAGCTCACTGAAACTTCATCCTTGAACTGCCATCAAAGCAGCTTCCAGTTGCCACTTGCCTGCGCCTACGCCATGTGGCGGGTTGTGATAAATAGGGTATATTATTGTGTTTTTATAGGGTTTAGTGTGGGTTTATAGGCTGTAATGTTGCACTGACTCTAGTATTGACAAGGTCTAGAATCACAAGTATCGAAAACTTTTTCTGCGACATCAGTTTGTTTGGGTGACCCGCTATTATCATAAGTTGTGTTTCCGCATGTTGTTTTTGCAAAGGGTTTGTGGGGGCCAAGCCCGACGGACTTGAATAAATTCGCTGCGTCACCCTCTATAATAAACGGGCCCGGGGGGGGGGTCCTTAGCAAGGCAGGAAAGCTTCAGGCCTTAAGGTCCTCAAAGCTTGAGGCCCCGTCTCCGCCCCAAGGGGGGGGGGGGGGGGGTCCGCGCCAGGTATTTATAGAGGGTCCAAATTTGTTTAAGACAGTGCAACATTCGGGCATTAGTATAAGTTCATGGGATATAGGGTTTTAGTTTTACTTCCTGTCTCTAGAGACAGATGAGCGCATCCGCCAAGCGAGCATGTCATCAAAACACGGCGTTGGGTACTGCACCAAACCCCAACTCACCAGCTGCTCTGACGGAACTATGGAGATGTCAAGAATGGATCTCGGTTTCCACAGCTTTGGCCATTGCTGGGAGTTATTCCGACTGCGTTTCCGCTCCACCCCACAAGAGGCCAGCTCCCCGTCACCAGGCGTTTTAATTTAAGCAGGACTTCGACTTCAGCAGGTCAGCTGGAGCACAGGGCACTGCCCTCCGCACCCCGTTCCCTCTCACAAGTTGCGCGTGCTTTTCTCGCCACTGCCAGAGCCAGTGATGGTGAATGCAGCGGTCACACTTTTTTCTGCGGGACATACTATGAGAATTGGCAGCTCGGGCGTGCGGACCTCACCACCCAAGCCACTGACTTTGCATCATGTCGCACGCTCTCGCGCAAGCTCTAAGGGGTCCGGATGGCCAGGCGCACTGCAAATTTGTTAGGATTGTCCAAGACCGGACACTTCCCGCCCAATCTCCGCAGCTGAGCCAAAGAACGCACCACAACCAGCAGAAATGCCTAAGCTGTCTAATCAACGACAAGCATTCTCATGCCCACTGGCGCCTCAAGCCCAACATCTAGACTCCCGGCGCCTTGGAAACAAGCGTAGAATCCCAACAGGCGCAAGCATCCAACAAAGCGTGGCCTGCAGCGGCGACTGGCCACAAGTGAGCAACATCCTGAGGCCGTGAAGGCACACGCGGCCCTGTCTCTCAGCGACCCTTCCGCCACAGCAATCATTGTCAGTCACCGAAAGGGGCACTCCCAAAACACTTGGGCTCGGCTACTCTATCTCTTGCTCAGCACTTGACTTGCGCAAAGTTTGCGCTGAGTCCGAGTGCGCTTAATGCCTGCACCAATTCATACAGCTTCCTGCCAGCCTGGCCAGGATTGGCAAAGCACAGCACCACACTTCCCAAAAGGCCCTTGGAGGTTGCAAAGGGGGTCTGCAACCTGTTTTGTCAACATGCGAACGGGCGAAGGAGTCCCACCTTGCACAAATCCACGGCGCCCCTGTGGCGCCCTTCTGCCGACTGCAGCATGTGAGATGCACCACAGCCGGATAAGAATCACTGTCATCAGCACTGCCGAGGTCCAGTTTTACCAGCAAACAGCCTCGTCAAAAAATTGCTTTGCGATACTTGAGGGATGCGATCTGCACTGCATATACTGAAAGCAGTTTGGAACAACCCCAACCGGCTTTGGGGGAGCGGAAGGCCTTCGTGTCCTTCCAGCGGCCACAGGCCTTTGTTTCACCTCCCATCGGATCGCAGGCGCCATTATCCTGCAAACCATCGATCTCAAGATCAGCGGGAAGGCGATTTTGTCTCGACTTCTGCAATATCGCACTCTAAGCACGGTGCAGGGAGGTTAGCTGGGGTAACAACACTGCCATGAGCCCAAACATCCTAGTGCCTCAAACGTGAGCCTTGGAACTTGACATCACGGCCTTCTCAGCGAAAGGCCTCGCCTTCAAGTTTCTCGAACGAGATTGAGCAGCAGTGCTAGGCATCACTGTCGGCATGTAGGAAAGCCAACTCTTGTGTGAAGAGGCTGTGAAATCCCTCACGGATCTCAAAGCCCACCTTCTAGGGCTTGAAGAGCCAGGATCCCTCATGAAGGGGGTTCATGGGTATGATATGGTATGAGATTCAATATTCGGTTAACTGCAGATGGCAAGATATGCCATCTCCTGGAGGCTATACGGCTGGAGAGCACAAGGAGTCGGGTCCGAACAGCTCAAGGTTTACCCCGTGGAGTTTAGATGAGTGGGCCAGGGCCTGAACACTCTAAACATCTGTAATCCGTACCTGAAACCTCCTGAGCAAATTTTGTACATATGGTATCCCTGGGCCGGTCCAACCACATCTCGACGTCTCCACGCACTCCTGGGCAACTGGGGATTTCCTGTAAACCTTGCTGGCCCCTTCGGCTCAGGGTTTAAAAGGTTTTTTCAGTTTAGGGTGAGGGAGTGTAGGCTGTCAGCAGGTGGATCTCTTCCAGAGGGAAGAATCCGCGATGACACCAACTGACCTTGTTGCTTGCTCTTCCTGCATTGAACTCGATGAACCACAGGATGTCTCACAAGGTTTAGGTGGCCCACACACTGAATTCTGCAATGGCAACTACCAACAACGAAGTAAACCCTGAACCCTCACTCGCCAAATCCCAGCGTCCATTTGCCCAGACGTTCTTGACAACGGACGCTGGCAGAGTTTGCCCAAACAAGTCATTGGCCTCCTTTTGGCTGAAGCCAAACCACCTGAGCCGAAAGATCCAGTGGGCTTTTGGGTTGTGTGGGTTGCAGTTGTGGGAACTTTTGTTGGTTGGCTTTCTTTGTCGAAAACTTGGCGAAGGTTCTTTTTGAGAGTTGGGGGTCTGGGGGGAAAGATTTGACGCGAATGCGTGCGTTCAGTGTTCGCAAGCGTTCACACCGAGTGTTCGCAAGCGCCCAGAAGCGTGCGTACGTGCGAGCCACCATCCTCCTGACTGCCATCGCTTTGGGGGTTTATTCGATCTTCGCAAGAACTTGACAGCGACGTGCTGAGATGGTGACATCGCCATCCTTGTGACTGCTTCGGAGCTTCGGTTTGCCTTGGCAAAACGAGCTGACAGCCACGTGGATGCTGCTTGTGGGGGTCAATGTTTGTCGTTACCTTTGGAGTTTTCCTGAAACTCCGGACAACCAATGCCGTTGCCGCCGAAATCCTTCTTGCGCGCGAGCGATTCATCGAGCGAAAACCGACGCTATTACATCGTGACTTTTTTTTTGTGGCTTCTGGTGTCCGTCTACCATTTTTTCTGGTCGAGGTGTATGCTTCATGCTTGTGCAACAATTACCAGTTTCTCAGGCTAATGGGAAAGACGATCATGAAGAAGGGTGAGGTCCGTTGCTTCAAGCTCCCTAATGAACCAGCCTTCCCTGACATCACTGAGTCACTGCTACAGCCTGCTGACATGCAGCTTGAGCAACGCAGGGATTGCCCGACAATATGCATCTTCTGCATCATATACGAACACCCTAAGTAGCAGGAGAAGCCAAGAGACATGCCTTCCGTCTTGGGGTCTTTGTAGAGGTTGTGAGTGCTGTCACTGAGCACAGTCAGGAACTTCTGGCTATGCGGAACGGTGTGGAACACGTCCTTCAGGAGTGTGGCACTGTGACCCTCGTTATCATCCCTCCCGCCCCGGAAAAAACAAACACACACACACACACACATACACACAGGTTCGCACCATCTTTCGAAGGAGTCGTCAAGCCTGGGATTAAATCTAATCTTTCTGCCTCCGGGGGGCCCCCCTTACAGGTACACATTGGAACGTCTTCAATGCTTCACCAGAGAATGTGGTGTTTTCGTTGGCAGTGATCCCACAGACTCTGTCACAGCCCACTGCAATTTATTAATCCTTGGCAAACAGGTGT